CCTGGGCGCCCATGTGGCTGACTGCGGTTCGGATACCAGACTTGGCACCTTCCTTTCTCATTTTCTCTGTCTCTCTTTTGGTGAGCTCATGCGCCCTATAGCAAAGTTAAAATAATAATAATAAAAATAATAATAAATAATTTAAAAACACACACACACACCAAAAAAAAAAATTAAAAAAAAAACACAAAAACAACTCATACTGGTCACGTGTGCATGTATAGCCAGAATCCCAAGAGAAGAATGGAGGAGAAGGGACTGCGGCAGGGCCATCCCTCCTGGGGGTGATTTCTCACTTTCTATTTCTCTGTCTCTCTGGCAAATGCACATGACCTATGGTAAAAATCTCTCTTAAAAAGTATTATTTAATTTTATTATTATTTTTAAAATTTGCTACAAGGCAGATATGCTCACTGGAGAAAGAGAGAAAGTGAGAAAGCAAATCACCACATCCGGGACTCAAATAGTTGGCTATGTGGTAGTTCAGTGCCTTAACCACACCCCCTGCCAGTCCCATCCTCTATATCTAATTAATGTGCATAAGTAAAGAGTTCTTTTAACTTACTATGAATCCTGCCAATTTCTAGTTTTAAGATGTACCTACTGGGACCAGCAGGTGGTGTGGTGGTTAAGGTGCTGGACACTCCCACATGGCCGACCATGGTTGGAATCCTGGACCTGGCGGCTTGCTTTCTCACTTTCCTTCTCTCTCTTTCTCTCTCTGTGTGTCTCTCTAGTCAAATTAATATAAAATGAATGAATAAATAAAAATTAAAACAATTCTTAAAAAAAAAAGATGTACCTACTAAGAAATTTAAATGTATGAAAGGTTGACTGACAATGATTTATCTGCTGTAACTAAAATTCATACTGCATACTCATTCCTGCTATACATTTTTACTTAAACTTTTAAAAACTCTTCATCTCAAAGAAATATTATACACTTACCCACTGAAGATAAAAATCAGTAGGACTATTTACATGACAAACCATAACTGACACATCTGTCATTTCTTTAGGCAATATAGGTGGATGAAAGTGTAAAGTTGTATTTTTTTCAGATTGACTTTTTCGTGACTGTGACCTAAACCTGATTGAAAGAATAATTAAAAGTACAAGTAAGAGTCAGTTTCTTAAAGTCTCTTCTCTTAGTGAGTTGATTTACCAAAAGAATTCCTTCTCCAATTTTTCTCTTCTTTCTTACAACATATCTTGGTATTATTGCTAATGGTTAACCAAGTTAAATAAAATGTCAAGTAACAAGTTAAATAAAATGTCAAGTCTCAACACTCAATAATTAACCTTCAAATTTACGTTAGAATATTTTAGAGCTAAACCTGTACATCATCATTTGATTCAAAGGTGTTTTTATTCATAACATCATTTGATTCAAAGGTGTTTTTACTTATAAATTTTGATTGCATTGACAGTTGTGGTCTGTAGTACTCAGTGAGCTAGCTGAAGTGCCTCTGGAGCACCTCTTCCACAGTTTCAAGACTTTTATTTTTTAGAATGGAATCTATTTGGGTCACTTTCAGAGTCATCTATTCACCCACAAAAGAAAATTAGGATCTTCTACTACCTTTTTGGTTATATAAGTTATCTTACTGTTTGCTCATTAAAAACAAGAAATAAAGTTTAACTGTCATCTCTAGATTCATATATTAAATATACAGTAGTTACCTTAAACTCATCCCAAAGCTTAGAAAAATTTAGTTAAGAACAGCTAAACAATAATTCTTGAAACTCCAGTAGGGCTGCTTACAAAGTCATCAACATTTTTCTAATATCTACACATATTTTCTATTGTAATTCCTCTACTTTATTAAAGCAAATGATCTGACTGCAGTTTTCATAGACAACTGTACTTAGAAAGCTCTAACGGCAATATTTTTAAACTCTTAGGGTATGTAGAAGTTCATTTTTGAGGCTATGATTTTTAAAGATAAAGTTTTCTATTAATATTTACAGCTATAATTTCAAAAACTATTTAAATTTTAATAAGTCACTTACCTTGCTAGTTCCATAAAAACTAATGCATCTCGAAGAGACACAGGCATATCACTACTTATTTTATTTGCTGGTGGTTTCTGTAGATCTACAATAAGCACACCATCCTCTTCTCTAAAAACTTTCATTAAGACAGCCTTGTTATTTACCATTTTCAAAAATTCCACTTTAGCTTCTTCTTTCCAGCCTTCATACTGTGGAAAAAAGTAAAATGCCAAAGTAATTAGCAATTATAATCAGATCTATTGCAATGTTCTAGATTTAACTTTGTACCAAACTCTGCAACTTTCAGCAAAGGTCATTGCACAAGCCATAGACATTAAGAAACAGCAGGAATTTAAAAATATACTTCAAAGCTATTGTAATCAAAATGGCATGGTACTGGCATAAAAACAGACACAGAGACCAATGGAATGGAATTTTAAAATCTAGAAATAAGGACCAGCAGTTGGCATAATGGCTATGTCGTTGAACTCCCATGTAGTCGACTGAGGTTTGAGTCCCGGACTCGGCAGCTTAAACTCAAGCTGGGTGAGTGTGCGTGTATGCCCAAGATCCCAAGAGGAAAATGAAGGAGAAGGGATTGTGGCGTAGCCATCTACCCTGGGGGATGATTTCTTGCTTTCTGTCTCTATGTCTCTCTCTGTCTTTCTGGCAAGCTCATGCACCCGATGGCAAAAACCACTAAAAAAAAAAAAAATCTAGAAATAAATCCATACACAGTCAACTGATTTTCAACAAAGATATGAAAAATACTAGGGAAGGATAGTTTCTTCAAAAATGATGCTGGACTAGGATCAGCAGATGGTATAATGATTAAATCACTGGACTTCCATGTAGTTGACTGCGGTTCAAGTCCTGAATCCAGTGGCTTAAAACTCATGCTGGGCACATGTGTGTGTATGTGTGCCCAAAATCCTGAGAGGAGAATGGAGGAGAAGGGATTGTGGTGTGGTCATTTCCCCTGGGGGATGATTTCTCACTTTCTGTCTCTGTCTCTCTGGCGAGTACATGAACTCTATAACAAAAACCTCTCTAAAAAAAAAAAGATGCTAGGAAAACTGAATATCATTTGTGGAAAAATTAAACTAGATCCATCTCTCTTGCCATATTAAAAAATCAACTCAAAATAGATAAAAATGATTAAGTCCTCAAACTTTGAAAACACTAGCAGAAAAT